CACATGCATTAATTTGTTTTCTTCCATTCTCAGAGAAAGCCAACAGGTCAGCATTGACCTAGTATCTGCTTTGGCTCAATATTTGGTTTCTTCAAGGTGCCTTAAAAAACAACAATATATGCATTTTAAATGACCTTATATAGTAAAACTTTGAGATTTATTTAACTTTATTAAAAATCCTAATGGTGCTCTAAATGTAGGCTGGGCTACTGTTAATGTCTGGGAAAGGGCTCATTTGTACACATGTATTACCACACCAGAGTGAAAACTGATAGCAGGTAGTCCACTCCTCAAACTTACCAGATTTTGGATATGTAATTATGAAGACATCATCATCTCTAATTTCAAAATCATCTAGATTTTCTAGAAAGTCAGCATCAATTAAAGAAGATTCAAAATTATAGCCTTTAAATCTCAAAAAATATGTGTCTTTGTTGTCCATACTTATTCACCTACAAGTAAAAACAAATAAAATTCTTTTCAATTTCATAGTATTTTATAGTAATTACTAACACTTACTGAGCGTTCAATATATGCCAAGCACTTTATATATGTCATGTGTCTCAACCCATGCCATACTAAACAACTTCCTATATAATAAAACTCTAATAGGCAAATCAACTGAACTGCATAACAACCAGTTGCTATGATGCACACTGACTACCAGGGGGCAGACGCTCAATGCAGGAGCTTCCCCCTGGGGGTCAGTGCACTCTCATAGGAGGAGCACCACTGAGCAAGAGGCTGGGCTCACAGCTGGCAACCGCAGCAGCAGTAGCGGGAGCCTCTCCTGCCTCCATTGCAGGTGGGCGGTAAGGAGCAAGAAGTCCCAGACTGCGAGAGCCCCGGCCTGCTAGAGGGATGTCTGATGCTGGCTTAGGCCCAATCCCCCTGACAGGCAGATATACCTTGAGGGGTCCCAGACTTCGAGAGGGGACAGGCCAGGCCAAGTGCCCTCCCTCACCCCACTCCAGTGCATGAATTCATGCACAGGGCTGCTAGTACATATATAAAAATTTACTCTTAACAGCAACCAAACATTCTTAAAGGTTTTATCACTATTTTAAAGTTGAGGAAACTAAGATACTAAAAGGTTGGACAGCTTTCCCTAAAATCCCATAAGGGAGGTATTATCATGATTCCAAACATAGAACCAAGGAAAATAAGGTAAAGAAGGTGCAAGGTTGCCCAGCTGGCAGACCTGGCAGGATTTGATGCCAGACTATTTGGCCACAGAGCCCATGCCTTCAATCACTTTACTGATACAGTGTCTTAGTGTGCCGAGCCAGCTCAGCCAAGGGTTCAAAAGCCTGAGTGAGGGCGGTGAAAGGATGGAGAAATGACAGACAAAGAGAATAAGCTGGGTCTGGATCTTCCTGTGCCTGGCTGAGGCCACAGAGAGAGATCCAGCTGACCACTGGTCTAGGTGGATCTTCCTGTGCCTGGCTGAGGCCACAGAGAGAGATCCAGACAGCAAACTGAGCCTTTATTTTATAGCCAGAGGTAAATAAGGTAGTGGTCACCATAGTTACAGTGTTCTTGTGAGTTTCACTTGCTACATCTAACCTCAGCCCATTAGCTACCCAGATAAGATCTAGGGAGCCGTCATAAGGTCAAGCCTAATTATGCTAAGAGGACTGTGCCCTCTAAGCTGGAACTTGTTTGTGGCTGGGCCAACAGGTCAGTCTGAGGCTTAACCCGATAGCCGCACCCAACATCTCGCCCTTATTTTATTTTTAAGCTACTATAATGGAAGTTTTTAAGCTACCATAATGAAAGTAAAACTTAAGCATCAAGAACAAAAAGCTACCATAATGAAAGTAAAACTTAAGCATCAAGAACAAAACTCTGACTATTAAAACAATAACAAAACAATGCCAATGCAAAACCCAAACTACAGACCATAATGAACGTAAAACTTAAACATCAAGAACAAAGCTCTGGCTATTAACAAAACAATACCAATGTGTTAACATTTTTAAAACTAGTAAGAATAACAAAAAATGCCAATGCAAAACAGTAATAAGTGAGAAATCAAACTACAGTAACATTTTTCTCCTAAATGAAAGTTTCTTTTGCTGACTGACTCAGAGTCCTTGGACATGGCTGCACAAGACTGGCAGCTGACCAATGCTAACATAGCCAGAAACATGGTTGAGGGAGTAGCTTCCACTTCTTGCTTTTCTACCATCTGCTGGGCCTCAGTGGTTAACTTCTTCAGCTGACTCCATGTTGGCACCTCGGTCCCTTGCGTAGCCTTCCTTTTCTTCTTTTTTCCACTTTGCTATCATTGGGGCAACTCTCAGTCTTTGAAGGATGGGATAAGGAGCTTCTCTGGGTCCATTGTGGACGCAGGTAACGCTCTGGTACCCAAATTGGCTGCACTGCTCCTTCTGGAAAGATACAAAACACAACCTCTTCCCCACATCATTACTAGGTCTCATAAAACTCTTGGCTGGTTAGTGTATCCTTCTACTGGGCTAAGTCGGCAGAGGCTATTGTACAGGAGGCCCGATGCCTTTTGGCTTCATAAAGAATGTTTATAGTTGATGGAATTCTGGCCATTCATAAATGGGTATACATTTTAGACTTGCTACTGCATTCGTCCTCATCCCTGGTAATGCTGTCAGGTGTTCCAAAATGCTAAATCAGAAGATATCACATGAAGTCTCAATATAACAGCTTATTTTAACTAGGCTAAATGGGGTGAGAACTCATTAAAAGAATAGGCTACTAAACATGGTATGATGAAACCTGAAGAAATAGCTCTGGCTTCCTAGATATATATAAACATACATGCTCCTCTGTATTTATGACTTCCTACTTTAACTTAAAATGTTGCAAATTATGCAGCTTTACATGTTTATAGTGAATCAGTTCTACTTTTGAGCCTTAACACTTCAAAATAAAACGTTAACTTTGAGTCAAACTGTTAGTTTTTCTTTTTGTGTCAAGAGCTAACTTTGATGTGTTAAAACTTAAATAAAATCTATTTACTCAATCCAAAACAGGCATTAAAAAGAAAAACCCCAAGTCCTTTCTTATAACCATTTTAAGAGTAGGATTGGCGCTTTTCGCTATTACCTGAGTCCTGATCTATCACCCCAGGGAGAACTTGCCAATCCTGCGCTTCCCTGGGTGGCATGATAAAGGTTTACTGAGTCAGCTGGAAAGGCTGCAGTGGGGTTAAGAATAAGGACTCTACTGTTTGGCGGGACCAGTACTGGCCTCGCTTGTAGTTTTTCTGCCTAGGGGACATTGGATTATCATCAACATCAGCCATTTACCCAATTGCTTTCCTCTCCTGCATCCTGAACAAGAATCAAGCAAAGATTTGAAATAAAAACCACTCCCTGTAGCCCTTTGGTTTTCATCTCTAGCTGCTTGTTTAGGGGGTAAAAGGAGAGGCTTATGAGGAACAGTAAGCTTTCCAAATGTTTGCACCAGACCCCCATCATCCCAAACCTGCCGGCACTGTTCTCTTGCTTCCTCCAATCCTCGTTCATATTTCGGAGGAAGTGCATCTTCCGGAGTGCTCTCTCCCATAGGAGCTGTAGCCCCAGGGACTGGAGGAGGCACTGGAGATGCCAACCAGTGGAGTCTGAAGCCTCTGGTAGCTTTCCCCCATCTGTCTTGATTCCCCTGCCACATTCATCCACTCCCTTTCTGGAGTGGGCTCTAGGCAGTCCTGAATCAGGGACCACAGACTGAAAGCAGAGGCAGGCATTTCCTCTGGGCCTTCAGCTATATAATGATCTTTAAGTTGGTTTCCTACCTTCTCCCATGCTTCTGTATTTACCTTTCCTTCCTCAGAAGACCATGGGCAGATTTTACTCACAAAACCCAACAACTCAAAAAGCTGTTCGTACTTCACAGAACAGCCCTGTGCTTAGAGCATAACATTAAGCATGGATGCGTATAAATTCTTTTTCTGCGATCCTGAATTGCCCATGTTGTACACCTAATTATATCACTCAACTTTGCTCCTTACCTTCCTTCTTGTTTTCTGCACGTGCTTCACTGGAGCGTCCTTTCACCTGACAACTGGAGTTCCCCCAAACTCAGGCCCCGTGCTGGATGCAACATGTGCTGAGCCAGCTCAGCCAAGGGTTCACAGCCTGAGTGAGGGCGGTGAAGGATGAAGAAATGACAGACAAAGAGAGTAAGCTGGGTCTACGTGGATCTTCCTGTGCCTGGCTGAGGCCACAGAGAGAGATCCAGAGGCAAGCTGAGCCTTTATTTTATAGCCAGAGGTAAACAAGGCAGTGGTCACCATAGTTAGTGTTCTTGTTTCACTTGTTTTGGTGGCACTTGCTGCATCCCCCTCAGCCCATTAGCTTCCCAGATAAGCTGTAGGGAGCATCATAAGGTCAAGCCTAATTAATAAGTAAATGAAAATTAAGGGGGGAGGAACCTTTCACTTAACTTGTCAATGAACAAAAATTGCTATCCATTGGAGGAGGGAATAAACGTGATGCAGAAGCAATTATCAATTTAGGAAGCATTTTAATGAGTTTATTTGAACCATACTGATGACAATTGACGGGAAGCAAAATCTTAAGGGATTGAGAAAATGCTCCAGAGGCTGGCAGTTTTGCACCTTACTTCATTTTCATTACAATCAAAGGAGGAGGCATAAGGGATTACATGAAATCCATTGGTGATAGATTAGGGAGGCAGGAGAAAGCAAGTGGGGGAATTCTCAGGGGTTGGATAAAAGTAAAACAAATAGACACATACTTATTTACATTGGTGGGTACAGGATAGCTAACAGTTAACAATGAACAGGATTGTGCAGGACCACCACAGCAACGGGTTTGGTGAGCCTGATGCGGGAGGGGGTGGGGGCGCAAAGGATTTAGAAAAGACAGAAGGAGAGAATAAGCTAGGTCTGGATCTCCTGTGCCTGGCTAAGGCCACAGAGAGAGATCCAGAGAGCAAACTGAACCTTTATTTTATAGCCAGAGCTAAACAAGGTACTGGTCGCCATAGTTACAATGTTCTTGTGAGTTTCACTTGTTTTGGCAGGACTTGCTGCACCTCCCACAGCCCATGAGCTACCCAGATAAGATCTAGGGAGCATCAAAAAGTCAAGCCTAATTATGCTAAGAGGACTGTGTCCTCTAAGTTGAAACTTGTTTGTGGCTGGGCTAACAGGTCAGTCTGAGACTTAACCCTATAGCCGCGCCCTACACTTAGTATTTCATATTTTTATTATTAGAGAAACTAGAGGCCTGGTGCATGAAAATTCATGCACTGGAGGGGGGTGTCCCTCACCCGGGCCTGTACCCTCTCACCACCCAGGAACCCTCAGGGGCAAGAGGTGACTTGGCAATCAGGGGAAGGAGACGCCCCATCACACCTCTGCTGCTGCCACTGCCGGCAGCACAAGCCTCGGCAGGCCCTGGTTACCTGAGCCTTGAGCGGCCTTAGGTGGCTGGGCAGCTGCCATCCTAGGCTTGCCTGTTGTAAGAGGCTGTGGGGCTACAGGAAAGGCCTGACCCCACTCCAAGTCATGTAAAGGACATGAACTTGGCTTGCACCCCAGTTCTCGTGATCTAGGCAAGCAGACATTTTGTAATAGCAACTGTCAAACATAGATGGAACTAGACAAAGCTTGCCCAGTCTTGCCCAGCCTGTAATGATCTGCTACTTCCCCATCAGAAGCCAAGCCCTAACAGTGATCTATGAAGCATGACCAGCCACAGCTTAGCTATAAAACAGTGTGTGTAAAAAATAAAGTTGCTGGTGCCTTGTGCCAGTCCTCCTAAACCCCCAGTCTCTGGTGCTTTCATTCCACGCCGCCATTACCCTATGGGACCATTTGGGAGCGGGTCTCCACAATTGGCACCCAACGTGGGGCAGAAGGTGGGCTGTGTGAGGACCCTGAAGTATCACTCGGCCGAGTCTATTAGTAATAGTAAGTTTTGGGGAATTTGTGTTAATTAGGAGTAAAACATGGGGCAATTAGAGACCAAAGAGCGCTCTCTGCATGCACAGATGTTAAAGAGCATGCTGCAGCTGAAACCGGTTTGGCTCAGTGGATTGAGCGTAGGCTTGCGGACTGAAGGGTCCCAGGTTCGATTCCGGTCAAGAGCATGTACCTGGGTTGCGGGCACATCCCCAGTAGGAGATGTGCAGGAGGCAGCTGATCGATGTTCCTCTCTCATCGATGTTTCTAACTCTCTATCTCTCTCCCTTCCTCTTTGTAAAAAATCAATAAAATATATTAAAAAAAAAAAGAAAGAAAGAACATGCTGCAGGCAAGAGGGGCTCGAGTGACTCCCTCCCGACTCCAGCCGGGGGCCACGATGGTGGCCACGCACCGGGTTTGTCTGTCTGGTGTTTATTGTCTTGGCATTTGTTGTCAAAAAGTCGTCTGCTTCTGTGTGCACCCCGCTGCAATGTGTTTTGAGAGTTTTCAGGACTTCAAGGAGCGAGCTGCAGGTTCCCGGCAACCTTAGGTTGCATTTGTCTGGTTTGTTTTGTCTCTGTCCTTTGTTGTCTTTGTCTTTGTCAAAATGGGTCAGGGTCAGTCATCTTCATCGACCCCTTATCAGTCAGGCCCACTCTGGGTGAGTGGAAGGGGAGCTTGATCACTTCCCGGGAAACTATAGAGCTCCCTCAGGAATGGGGAAATTGTTAGGAATTGGGTGGATTGTTTAAACTCTGAGTGAAGGTCTGGTGAAAATGTGTGAGTGTGGAGGGAGGGGGCCTGCCCTCTCCTCTCCTCTGTGTGGCTCCATGACTTCGGTTATGGAGTCCAAGTGGGCCCCAACCTGCGGTTCCGCAATTCGTCATATGGCATGACGGTGATTCACCCCCACATGGAGGTGACCAGGCCCAGGGTTTATACAGGTGCACCTTAGCTAAGACGAATCTAAGCTCCTAAGGGACGTGGCCAGGCGGGCATCTGCATGAGGATCTATGAAAACAGGTCACTCCTTCCCTTGTCTGTCTCTCGTCACCGCTCATCATGGGGTGGGGACAAAGTAAACCCACTGTTAACTAATCTGTGTGAAGTAAAAGCTACTTTGATTTATTCTGCTGTTCTGTTGATACGCTTGGTTGAACGTTTGGGCTGGACCCGTGGTAGTCTGCAGAAGTCTCTTGGCAGCTGCGAAAATTATTTTTCTGTCTTTTGCTCACTATTAAAGGGGAATCAGCCCACTTACCTAATAAAGATTTCTGTCTATCAGTTGCTCTTACCTAGGTTGTAAATTTACTGTATTAAATTAAAGTTCTAGGGTAGATTTAAAGGTTAAGATGTTAATGCTTTTGATTTACAGAAATTCTGAACAGGAGTGGCCCACTTTCCAGGTGGGATAGCCAACTATGGGGACTTATGATTTAACCACCGCTTTTCAGGTTCACCATGTTGTCTATGGCTGGCCGGATCACCCCGACCAAATTCCCTATATTCAAGTGTAGGTCAATAGTTTAACTAAAGAAACATAGCAAAAAGTTAGAAATAAATATGCCATCTGAATCATTTGCTGAAACTTCCCCCAAAGCAGAATATGGGGGAAGGGAAGAAGGGTGCATGTGGCGATCCAATATGGACATACAGGTGCACCTTAGCTAAGACGAATCTAAGCTCCTAAGGGACGTGGCCAGGCGGGCATCTGCATGAGGATCTATGAAAACAGGTCACTCCTTCCCTTGTCTGTCTCTCGTCACCGCTCATCATGGGGTGGGGACAAAGTAAACCCACTGTTAACTAATCTGTGTGAAGTAAAAGCTACTTTGATTTATTCTGCTGTTCTGTTGATACGCTTGGTTGAACGTTTGGGCTGGACCCGTGGTAGTCTGCAGAAGTCTCTTGGCAGCTGCGAAAATTATTTTTCTGTCTTTTGCTCACTATTAAAGGGGAATCAGCCCACTTACCTAATAAAGATTTCTGTCTATCAGTTGCTCTTACCTAGGTTGTAAATTTACTGTATTAAATTAAAGTTCTAGGGTAGATTTAAAGGTTAAGATGTTAATGCTTTTGATTTACAGAAATTCTGAACAGGAGTGGCCCACTTTCCAGGTGGGATAGCCAACTATGGGGACTTATGATTTAACCACCGCTTTTCGTGTTCACCATGTTGTCTATGGCTGGCCGGATCACCCCGACCAAATTCCCTATATTCAAGTGTAGGTCAATAGTTTAACTAAAGAAACATAGCAAAAAGTTAGAAATAAATATGCCATCTGAATCATTTGCTGAAACTTCCCCCAAAGCAGAATATGGGGGAAGGGAAGAAGGGTGCATGTGGCGATCCAATATGGACATCCCCTCCCCATGTATTCTAATTTAAAATCTCCTCGTAACTGAAAAGTTTTACAAAAATTTAAAAATAGGATTTCTAGGATTTCTGTACACATATAAAAACTAGCTTGAAACTAATGCGCGCATCGTCTGATTTTGGACATTTAGATAGAGTTTTAAGCTAAAATCTCTTTACAAACATACAAAATAAAACCCAAGACTGATTATTTCCTAAGAAAAATGGCAAATTTAACGCAAAGGAAAAAAGATGCTAGCTAGATTTTAGCAGCAGGATTGGCATTTCCATAATAAAGAACAGTTTTTAAATACTAATAAAGGATATTAAAAAGTTAACTTCAAGACCAAAAAGGAA